TGAACTTTACAGTAGACTAATTTAAAGTTGAAATACCTGAAAACAAAATTTATTTTAATGAATCTAGCTGTAGTAGAATCTAGCTAGTAGCTGTAGGATTGAAATGATTTTAATAGACCTAGAAATATATATTTTTTGCGCATCGAATAGGTCGCTTACTCACTTTTGCCTTTCAAGCGTCGATATATACAAAATCACATATACATATACATACATACATACATACATACATACATACATATATACACACATACATACATATAATAGATTATACAGAATTAAGAGGAATATATTAATAAATTTTACGCTATCGAGAACTTTAAACAACTCACACTAATCACACAGGTGGATTGAGCTTTTCTAAATAGACGCATACTGCACGTCACTGGACCGTCAGTGGCGTTATTTCAATCGTACTTATGTTGATAATTAGAAAGATATTATTCAAAACGCCAACAATATCCTGTGAACATTTTGATTGTAGATATAGGTAGATTCTAATCGAAAATTAAATCCGCCGCCGATAGCAATTTTAATAATTATTACTAATTATATTACTAATATGTAACTATACTTGAGACCTTAGAACTTATATCTCAAGGTGGGAGGCGCATTTACGTTATAGATGTCTATGGGCTCCGGTAACCACTTAACACCAGGTGGGCTGTGAGCTCCTACACCCATTTAAGCAATAAAATAATAATAATAATAATATTTAATAATTATGTTCCATCTAAAAACGTGTATTTTTTTTATTAAGACGTTTCAAAACGGTGTTCCAATGTTATTTATTATATTTGACGTAAAGGAACTATTTAAAAAAAATACATTGAAATACATAGTTGACAAACTAAAAAAACTTGGTGCACGTGAATGAAGTGAAACTTCTTTTTCGATTTGTAGTATTGTGGTTTTCTTCATTTTTCATCCTTAAAACAGATTGCTCTTGTAATAGGGAATGCTGTGTATAAGAGATGCGACATCTTCAACGTTTATATTATATATGTAGGGGAACGATACCCCCCCCCCCCACTTAGCTTAACATTAAGATTTTTTTTTTTTTTTTTAATATAGAGGGGGTGTAGTGTAGGGGAACGATACCCCGCCCCGCTTAGCTTACTATGCATTTATAGTAATGAGCAATAGACGTTAGTCAGTCAGTGGTCAGCGTGCAGCGATCCACAGCGGTCGCTGACGCGAATAAACATGTAATAAATACGTAGTGTTTTATTGATCGCTCCGATGAGGTTTATGGAGGACAACACGCAACAAACAACCAACGCACACGCCTCCTCCTTCATCGCCCTAGAAACCTCACATATATATTTTAAATTATCATAAATTATACTTCATTAAAATACTGGATGCTACTCGTTGCTAACGCTCGCGCTGGCCTGTAACAGGTATACTACTCCTCGCATTCACTCTCGCTCTGTCTCTTTCTATTCCAGGGTGGCGTTAAACGTTTAACGCAACCCTGTTGGAAGTTGCATTAGAAGTTTCACTTCAAAAAGCTAGCTTAAATAGCATACCAGACTAACTATTAATTTAATCTATTAAATTCTATAAAATCTATTAAATAAACTATTAAATTAAAAGTAAGTCGTCGTGGCCTAACGGATAAGACGCCCGGTGCATTCGTGTTGAGCGATGCACCGGTGTTCGAATCCAGCAGGCGGGTACAAATTTTTCTAATGAAATACGTACTCAACAAATGTTCACGATTGACTTCCACGGTGAAGGAATAACATCGTGTAATAAAAATCAAACGCGCAAAGTTATAATTTGCGTAATTACTGGCCCTACCACCTCTTGTGAGTCCGAGCGGGTGGTTACCACCACCCTGCCTATTTCTACCGTGAAGCAGTAATGTGTTTCGGTTTGAAGGGCGGGGCAGCCGTTGTAACTATACTTGAGACCTTAGAACTTATATCTCAAGGTGGGTGGCGCATTTACGTTGTGAATGTTTAAGGACTCCAGTAACTACTTAACACCAGGTAGGCTGTGAGCTCGTCCACTCATCTAACAATAAAAAAAAATTAAAAAAAAATCTCTTCTAAAGCGATCAGGACATTAGAGCGAAGATAAAGGATTATTGTATCATCATCGGTCCTTGACGCGCGTGCGAAATGTCAAGTTATTTGAAAATAACTCTCAAAGATTACATTCACGTTATCACCAAACAAACATACAAACTTACCAAGCTGATAAAAGCGTTTTAATATATACTGTTTTCGTTTACACAGAATTTGTATACTTCTTCTTTTTCTTCACCTTATCCCAATAGGTGGAGCCAATTTTTCTCTTCCATCCTCTTCTATCAGCCGTCCTCTCAACACTCACTCCTCTCTCTCTCTCTCTCATATCGTCATTCACACACTCCATCCATGTCTTCTTCGGTCGACCTCCTCCCCCTCTACCTTGCACTACCATTTCCATACATCTCCTAGTCACATGCGTCTTCTCTCTACGCATCACATGTCCATACCACGCTAACCGTCCGCCCTTTAATTTGTTGATTACCGGGGCTACTTTCACACTTCCTCTGCAGTATACGTCTTCAGTAATGTCTCCTATATTGAAACCTGGATCCGCTATGACTAACATTAAATGAATGAAACACAATTTATAAGTCGAATATTATGCTAAGAAAATCCTTAAAGGATCAATTTTCGATACGGTTAATTAAATTGAAGACAAACTTTACGATTACAAACATTGTTTCTATATAGATAAATTATTTTTAGAACTTTTTTATTTAAAAGTGAAATAGTATGAATTTGGGAACTTTTCATGTATATTATTTTTAAATTATTCTTTTTTTTTTTAAGTGATTTTATGGCCTGGTAACTAAGACCTTTAAGTCATGTCTTATTTTAATTTTTATTCTTATTTTTATGAAAAATGATAATATGGAGTGAAATGAAATGAAAATGATTAATTTGAGACATTAATCAACTGGGATGAAATTAAATGAAATGAGATGATATGGGATGAAATATAATCTTAGTAAAATGGTGGTCATTTACTAAGATTTTTTAGTGGACTTTTTGGAGGATCCGGAAAGGTTGCGTCCAGCGGCTTTGTTTCATTTTCCCACATTTGTGCACTTTCACAGATATTAAACAGTTAATAAACCACCGTTATTACACATTTAAACCTGAAGAAACACTAAATAGATAAAATAAAACAAATCACACAACTTCACTCCTCGCGTTCCCGCCAAAAAGTCTATTCTTATTTTAGTTTCAAGGTGTTGCCAACTATTGCACTGAAGTTTGTACCTATAGCTGAGGTGGCATTTGCCATGTGCTTTCTTGTCATTTCATCGACGCTCTTAATATAATTTTTTCCTACTATTTACCTACTGATAGCCTAAGAGGCTATTTCAGCTACCCCAGGACGAGTAGGTGAGCACACGGGCTCAACCTGAAAGAATTTGCTAGAGCAAAATCAGTGATTCGCAGAATCTACCACCGGATCGGAATCGCGACCCATTGGGAAGATCCGGCGAGAAACTCAGTAGGCTTCTCACACATCACTGCTTCACGACCAAAAGTTCGCACGGAAACAGCGAGTTTTTCTTTCATATCAAAATGTTACATAAAACAGTGTGCTTAGTGCGAGTTTTTTAACGTTCTCGATAGCGTAAAAGTTAACTCAAATTTGTATGCAGTTAGAACAGCGCCCCTAGCGGCAAACGTAGGCAAACGATCCCATTCTATGCAAATACGAGCTAACTTATACGTTATCGAGCACGTTAAAAAACCCGCGCTAATAGCACACAGGACATAATTTTGATCAAACGAATTTCGATCATTCTCGAACATTTTTTTTTTTTTTTTTTATTGCTTAGCTTTGTGGACGAGCTCACAGCCCACCTGATGTTAAGTGGCTACCGGAGCCCATAGACATCTACAACGTAAATGCGCCACACACCTTGAGATATAGTTCTAAGGTCTCAGTATAGTCACAACGGCTGCCCCACCCTTCAAACCGAAACGCATTACTGCTTCACGGCAGAAATAGGCGGGAACATTACATAGTAGAACATTACTAGTGATAGTTCCACCACACAGTTCTTTAATCTATCTTCTAATAACTAAAGGTCAAGTTCGGATTTTTAAACCTATAATATAATAATTGTTCCGTCACAGTCAGTTGTGTAGTCAATTAACGACTGATGTCTTCCGTATGATAGCGGGACTTCACCGATGAAAGCGAATGATAAAATGAACAAGATTAGAAGGCACGTATTGTAGCGTAATTCGATTTGAATTTGAAGTTCAAGGTTTTACGACACACGTTTTTTTTTAGCTATTGCACAGCTTTTATGGCGGGCTTTGAGCGCGGCGACCGAATCAAGAAATTCCGTAACGAAAATAAAATCTAGCACCCCCCCACTCTCCGCCTACCATGGAGCTCGTGTTCAATACATTCACACGTTGCGCTTGTGTAGTGTCTGTGAATAAGCGCGCGGCGTGACGTCGCACTTCATGCGCATCATGAAAAGTCTGCCCGTCTCTCTCTCGCGCGGTATAGCTTATGAGTGTGAAGGGGAAAGTTAATGTTTTGCTTTTGTTAATGTTTATAAATATAGCATGGTCTTATTTTATTATTATTGTTTTAATATTAAATTATTATTGTCTAATTATAATTGCATAAGTTGATAAAAAATGCTTTACCGCGGCAGTCCCCGAGTGCCACACGTGTTTTTTCCGCACCTATTCGCTGGTAGGTGAGCTCACGGGGCTCAACCTGAGAATGTGCTAATACTGACCCTAGCATGAGCCGTGCTTCGCAGAATCTACCACTGGATCGGAAACGCGACCCACTGAGAAGATCCGGCGAGAAACTCAGTAGGTGTCGCCCGCAACTATTCGTCAAACATCGGCTCACTTCGGGTGCTTTGGCCGAGTCGAAACGTCAAAATCGCTCGGATTACTTTTACGAGTCGTGAAAACCAAAGGGAAACCAATTGAACAGCCTAAAATTCTCTTGTTCCAGGTAAAGCCCTTAGTCTCTTGCTGTTGACCGGCGTCGTGTCCTGTGCTGAAAACGTTACAGAGAGCGTGTTCAGGACTTTTAACAAAGTCGATCCCAACTCACTGTCGTGTGACCCAGCGGGACATGTAAGTTGATTCAAAGAGTGATTATATACGCTTCTATTAGCTTCAGACGTATGTATGTTTGTAACGGAATCTTTGAACATGATTTTGACCCCTTCAAAACGTTGGATTAACTCGAAATTAGGTATACTTATTAAGGACCGATGACAATTTAAAATTATGAAAAAAAAAAAATTGCATCAAATCAAATCAAACTTTATTAGTTAAAACGCGGTTTACAAAGTTGTTGATAGTTATTTTATAGAACAGCGTGTTTCTACTTCATCGTACAGGTTAAGTACCACCGCCCCGCCTATTTCTGCCGTGAAGCAGTAATGCGTTTCGGTTCGAAGGGCGGGGCAGCCGTTGTAACTATACTGAGACCTTAGAACTTATATCTCAAGGTGGGTGGCGCATTTACGTTGTAGATGTCTATGGGCTCCAGTAACCACTTAACACCAGGTGGGCTGTGAGCTCGTTCACCCATCTAAGCAATAAAAATAAAACCTACTTAAATGCGGTCTCACAAGACCACCAGTTATAAAACCTATTGCCTCCAACAAGGCTTCTGTTGATGTCGTCTTGTTTCCACCAGGTCTTCCTGCTTCTACCACACTTCCGTGACTGCTCGAAGTTCTACATGTGCGCTCACGGGGAAGAAGTGGAATTCAATTGCAACGGCGGCTTGATATTCGATTTCGAGTTGCAGGTAGATTCGGTTGAGATCTCACAATCATAAGATAAACGCAATGTGTTTGATATCGGCGAAGTTCCAAAGAAATCGTTTCTTCTTCTATCTCTTTCCCTCACTACTGAAAATCGCGACCACATGTGACGTTCTTCCACTGTGCTCGATCATGGGTGGCTTGGACTGCATGGTACAGACTACCACCTAGTGCTTCTCTTGCTAGATCTGACCATCTGGCTGGTGTTTTGCCCACGCTTGCCTTCTATGCGACCCGCAATGAGCTTCTCTGATTCATGTCTGGGAGACCGCATGCTGTGTCCGAAGAAGCTCATAACACGTTCCCGGCAGATGGAAGAGAGCCTTTTTCGGATGTCTAGCTGCCTTAGAATGGACTCGTTTGGTCTTATGTGCGTCCACAGTATTCGTAGCATCCTCCGCCACACCCACTAAGAAATAACGTAAGATCAATAACAAGAGACGAAGCGACATAAGGCTCGACGAGTGAATTAACCTATAGGCACAGTCCACTAAGCTTCTCGCCGGATCTTCTCAGTGGGTCGCGTTTCCGATCAGGTGGTAGATTGTGCGAAGCACTGCTCTAGCTAGGGTCAGTGTTAGCAACACTCCCGGTTTGAGCCCTGCGAGTTCGCCTACACGTCAAGGAGAAGCTGAAATAGCCTCTCAAGGCCTATCAGCATAGGTAGGAAAAAAAAAGAAAAAACAATCAAGACGAATCGCACGAGGTCATCTGGTATGGTATTATATACTTTTAAATAAACCGTAAAAGTATTTAATTATGTATATCCTACCCAATCTCTGATATCCTAAGGGGTTAACTACTCAAGGACCGGTAAGTGAGCTCACGGGGCTCAATCTGAGAGAATTTGCTAGCACTGGCCCAAGCAAGAGCAGTGCTTCGCTGAATCTACCACCGGATCGGAATAACTCAACGGGAATTGTGACCGTTAATCGTGATAATCGAAGAGACGAGACATCATCCATGTGAACGCATCCCGCAGACGATTAGTAATTTTTCTAATGAAATATGTACTCAATAAATGTTCACCATTGACTTCCACGGTGAAGGAATAACATCGTGTAATAAAAATCAAACCCGCAAAATTATAACTTGCGTAATTACTGGTGGTAGGACCTCTAGTGAGTCCGCGCGGGTAGGTACCACCGCCCTGCCTATTTCTGTCGTGAAGCAGTAATGCGTTTCGGTTTGAAGGGCGGAGTAGCCGTTGTAACTATACTGAGACCTTGGAACTTATATCTCAATGTGGGTGGCGCATTTACATTGTAGTTGTCTATGGGCTCCGGTAACCACTTAACACCAGGTGGGCTGTGAACTCGTCCAACCATTTATGCAATAAAAAAAAAACGTTTTGTTTTTAACTTAGACATGCAACTGGAAATGGGCTACGAATTGTACCCTTCGTGTGGTGAAAGAGGACATCGACACTGAAGGTTCGGGCTTGGGTTCCGGGGAAGAGACCATCGGAATATTTGGTGAAGAAGTAGAAAACGGACCTATAGGTGAGAGATGTTTGGTTTTTTATTTATTTTTATTGCTTAGACTAGCGGCCCGCTCCGGCTCCGCTCGGGTCTTTAACAAAAATTTCAACGATATTTGATGTTGTTTTATTTTATTAAATAAAAGAACACTTATTGCGGCATAACTATAATAGTTAGACATATGCTGTCGCAACACTTTTTGTAAAATGTAATGTGTTCTACAAAGTCGTAGTACATTGTTTTATTCTATCATCAATAGTTTTCGCAGGGCACGCGATGTAAAGAATATTTTAGGTAATTTTTTTACACCTTGGGTTACATTATTGGAGTTTTAGTAAGGATCCATATTTTTTTTTCAAAAAAGATTATATGTCTATGTCACTCGGGAATAGTGTAGCTTCCGAACAGTGAAAGATTTTTTCAAATCGGTTCAGTAGTTTCGGAGCCTATTCAATAAAAACAAACAAACAAATCTTTCCTCTTTATAATAAGATGAGTACAGACGACCTCACGGCCCACTTAGTAAGTATATGACAAAGGGAAGATATTCCACCGAGCGGGTGATATTGATCGGTAGACCAACGGTCCGAATGTTGTTGTTCGGAACTTGTATGTACGTAAGCTTATCTTGAAAATGTCGTAAGCGAGATTCAGGCATCTGTCAAATAACTCGAGTTCTATGATGGCTACCGCCACAGTCTTATGTGGTAACCGGAGCCCACAGACATCTACAACGCCAATGTCGCCGCCCACCTCAGGACACGAGTTGTAAGGTATCAGTTTTAACAGTACAACGGCTGTCCCCACCCTTCAAACGAATTACTGATTCACGACAGGAACAGGCAGGGTGGTAGTCCGGACGGATTGGCAAGACGTCCTACTATTGAATGACATAGATCATGTGTTTAGTATTTTCATTAACATAATTGAGCAACATCGTAATCACTACATAGTATAAAACAAAGTCGCTTTCTCTGTCCCTATATCTGTCTGTCCCTATGTATGCTTAAATCTTTAAAACTACGCAACGGATTTTGATGCGGTTTTTTTAATAGATAGAGTGATTGAAGAGGAAGGTTTATATGTATAATAACATCCATTAAATAGTGGAGAAACCAATAATAAATTACAGTTTCCGAAGCGAAGCGAGGGCGGGTCGCTAGTAACGTTATAATGTAATGTTTTTTTTTTTTATGTGATTTTATGACCTGGTAACTAAGACCTTTAAGTCATGTCTTATTTTAATTTATATTCTTATTTTTATGAAAAATGATAATATGGAGTGAAATGAAATGAAAATTATTAATTTGAGACGTTAATCAGCTGGGATGAAATTAAATGAAATGAGATGATATGGGATGAAATATAATCTCAGTAAAATGGTTGTCATTTACTAAGATTTTTTCAGTGGACTTTTTGGAGGATCCCGAGAAGTTGCGTCCAGCGGCTTTGTTTCATTTTCCCACATTTGTGCACTTTCACAGATATTAAACAGCTAATAAACCACCGTTATTACACATTTAAACCTGAAGAAACACTAAATAGACAAAATAAAACAAATCACACAACTTCACTCCTCGCGTTCCCGCCAAAAAGTCATAATGTAATGTCGAGATGTATCGGTACAGATATCCTCACAGCAGACTCAGCAGGCACAGTGAGGCCGCTGTCTCCAAGCAATTTGAGGTTCTTCAACCACGAGCTGAACTGCCACAGGGCTGATGCTGCAGCGAAACAAGTGGCTTACAAGTACGTATATAATATTTATATAATTAACTTAATGCACAGAAGTACAATGGCGGACTTAATGCCTGAGGCATTCTCTACCAATCAACCATGGCTGGTGTAGAGAATCCTCTGGTTGGTGCTTATCTTAATGTGAGAATAACCAAATTGATAATAATACTTCATACATATACAAACACATACACGGTATGTATATATATATATAATCACATACAACAACGTACACAATCTTATATCATGATAATAATATAAAATTTACACATATATCTATATATTATAATCTCTAACATATACTCATATATTCACATACATATTCATATACACACTTAAACACAACATAAAAATATAACAAATTTATCAGAGAAATAGAAGAATATATACATATATATAGTACAAGAAAATAGCATATTGCACAGAACACACTACATAATATATATGTAGGATTGGTAAGAACGGAACATAATATGAGAATTGTGTGGAACTAAGCGTTAAGATGTGAGTAAGAGACAACGGTAAGAAAGGGAAAAGAGAATGACAGAGAAAAGAAAGATGGTGAAGACGATTGAATGAGCAATCCGCTAAAAAGATGTCAGTTAATTTTTTATTATTTGTAATAGAGGAGATTTTGGGAAATTTATATAATACTAGCTGACCCGGCAGACTTCGTAGTGCTTCAATCGATAAATAAAAGACCTAAGCTTTTGTATAAAGTAAACTTAAAACAAACAAAAGGAATTTGTCCGACGGGGCACAAACCAAAGGAAAAATAAAATTGTTATTTTTATTTAATTCCGAGCATTTTCATATTTATATACCTTTTAAACCTTCTCTGGACTTCACAAATAATTCAAGACGAAAATTAGCCAAATCGGTCCAGCCGTTCTCGAACTTTAGCGAGACTAACGAACAGCAATTCATTTTTATATATTAAAATAGAAGATAGAAGAAGAAGATGACTTAATTTTATAAAAAATATATAATAAAAATATGTTATTTTTTGTACGTTATTACAAAGTTAAGTCGTACACTGTGTGCGTTACTAATAAAAATCTTACATTACGGACGTTTTTTCCCGGTTAGGGGCATAGTTCCACAAGGAACTTCGTTCCAAAAATCCTTCAAGCCGAAACTCATTGTGTGTGTTGTTGAAGGGGCGATTGTCAGCGGTACTGGCGGTGCGTGGGCGGCGTGCCTCAAGCCATGTACTGTACGGATGGACTCTTCTTCAACGAGCTGACGCAGCAGTGTGACTTCGAGGCCAACGTCAAGTGCGGCGTGATACCGGACGAGGAGCTACAAGGCGAATTCATTGTGTACAAAAACTAGGTTCATTGCGTTTAATATAAGATTGGGTTGCGATCTGCGACGGTGTTGACATCTGTGCGCCGCGGCCGGAAATAAGACGCCGATAAATCTATAATATAAAAATATTAATAATGGCCGACTTTCCAGAACTAGTACGCTGATAAATATACATAAAAATATTAATAATGGCCGACTTTATAATTTTACTTATTATTTACGATTGTGATTTGTTCATTTCCTATCGAAAACGATACAGTAAGTAAAATAATTAACAAAGACTATAAAAATTTGTAGTATTCGTTAATAAAATATGTCCACGTACCTATGGCCATTTTTAGCGAAGAGTTAAATACACAAATAAAAAAATAAAAACCTACATTTTACAAAGGCAATGTCTTTGACGAGAATAATATTATATTAATTTACGTCGGCAGTTTTTAATGGCGAACAGATTGAAGGCTCCGAATAATTATAATATTTTGTTAGCCAGAACGACATTTCAAATTCAAATGCAAAAAAAAGAAAAACGTTTTGGAACAAAATGTAATACGTAGATCGACTCGCTCAATCATAATCAAACTTATTGACGATTAGGTGCTTTCTTTATACACAATCTAATGTTACGAAAACAGTTTCATAGTTTAATAATTAAACTCGGTACGATCAATAAGTAATATAAAAAGTTATAATAATATCCATTTGACAATTTCCAATGTTGGCGGTGGACGAGAGTTCATTGAACTTCTCAAATCGAAGCGACGCGTTCGAGTGAATGCGACGCGATGCAATGTGATAAAAATATTAAAATAGTGTATGTGAGTCGACTATTATCAAAGCCGGCAATGTGACTTTTGGACAATTATTGGTAAATCAGAAAAACGAATTATTGACTTTGTATTCCATTGGCAGTCACAAAACTCTTCTGAACGACATCTTAGATAAATAACAGGTTAAGTATTAACTCTTATTTAATGCAGTTTTTGAACCGTATTCTTTGAAGGAGACGATTACATTCAAATCAATCTGTATTGACTTATCAATAACATTTTTTTGTCCAAATGCACAGACCTTTGATAATAGACGACTCATGTATTGATTTTCGGATGTGTTTATTATAAGCGGGCCGCCCCGGCTAGGCTCCGCTCAGGTCTTTAACAAGAATCTGAACGACATTTCACGTTATTTTATTTGTTAAAGTAAAAGAACACTTATTGCGGTATAACTATAAAAGTTAGACATATATTATGCTGTCGCGACATTTTTTGTAAATAATAATGTGTTCTACAAAGTCGTAGTACATTATTTTATTCTATCATCAATAGTTGTCGCAGGGCACGCGATGTAAAGAGTATTTTAGGTATTTTTTTACACCTTGGGTTACATTATTGGAGTTTTAGTAAGGATCCCAAATTTTTTCAAAAAAGATTTATAGCTTATGTCACTCGGGAATAGTGTAGCTTCCAAACAGTGAAAGAATTTTTCAAATCGGTTCAGTAGTTTTGGAGCCTATTCAATACAAACAAACAAATCTTTCCTTATTCTATATCTATATCTTTATTAGTATAGATTTCGGATGCAAGTTTTGTTTGATACTCGACTGCACTCAGATAGCCCGATGGCGCGGTAACACTTCCGCTTGTGCGAAATGTTGTCAACTTTAGAACTTTGTAATCAATTAGTTCCGCAGCCATGGAAGGTACTGGAAACTTTTGAAACTGTGAAATTTAATAGACTGTTTATAAAAATATTAAACTGTGTAAAACTGTGTTTCGTTTGAGTCTTAAATCTAGAATAATATGTACTATGAATAATGTTGTTTTGTAAATAAAATATGTGCTATTTAATGTAAATTGTTTACTATGTTATTATTGTAAATTTTGATTTACATTATATATTTAATTTTTTATGAGTTACATCTTCATCATTAGAGAGATCAGTGATTTTCATTTATTGATTAATACAAAATGTTTATCTATGTAATCGTTTTACTACAGTAAAACTTAAAACTTCCCGTCCTAAAACCGATAGCATGTATGCTAATCCATATTATGTTGACGATGAAAATATTTTTTGTGTACATGTAAAGAAGTAACACCTATTTGTCGATTCGTAATAAAACAAAACTACTTAATGTGTTTTTTTAATTACCTCTCATAGTTTGTAATGATATTATTGAATTAAATAAAACACAAAAACAATAAATTTTATACGATTGTTTTATTTTTGTTTTTCTCCGAAATACAAGCTTACTTATTGCTCTGACAACATTAACATGGATGTCAGAATATTTGCTAGTACAGTTTTAATAGCATAGATAACAAAATTAATATTTAATAACATAGTCATTACACTTAATATGCATATTATTATGTATTGATGTACCGGTCAACTTGGTAGATTGACATAGTGTTGTTTGAAAACAGTACTAGGTGGTAGGCAGCGGTGTGGAACACTTGACAATAATACTATGTGTGTCGCTTCAAAGTCAGTTTTATTTTTTATTCCTCAGGTGGATGGACGAGCTCACAGCTTACCTGGTGTCAAGTGGTTACTAAAGTCCATAGACATCTACAACGTAAATGCCGCCACCCACCTTGAGATGTGAGTTCTAAGATCTCAGATTAGTTTAAATAAGTTAGTCAAATAAGTGAATCTATTAGAATATAACAGACGATTCCCTAATACTAAATCTCCTAGCTCCGGAATAAAAATAAAAATAAAATCGTGGTTTGTAATAGAAAAATTCGCACAGGATTCGTAATTTAATTTAAAAAGACAATATCTGCTTAATAATCTTACATAGCTTGCACTTAATCGATTGAATTAATTAACATGCCATTATCAGCTCGTCCCGTATCAATATATCTGTTTAACGAAATGTTTCAAGGTAATTTTCGGCAACTTCGAGACGTGAAATTAACTTGAAAATTCGTATCGAGAATCGATAGCATACATACAAATTTCGGGATTAGTATCCTGACCAGGATTATTAGTACCTATTATTTATTAATATCAAAAACTGTTCTTTTGTCTCTTGTTTTAGATTGCATATTATACTTATCGTGTTAACTGGTTTGTGTTTGTGTTCATTTTTATTATTTTATTGGTGTATCTTTATGGTATACCGTTAGCGTCTATGAAAGCGCTCGCTAACAGTTTGAAATTCTGTTTGGCTGTTAAATTATGTTTACATTGTAATTCACTGCGCAGATTAATTAATTTAATAACTATCATTTTAATATACCTAGTCAGGTCATAAGTATTTTCACACAGTAAAAACTTTTAGAATGCTGGCCACAAAAAAGTTTATTGAATTCGAATTTCGAATTGTTCATGAAAATAAAAATGTATACTTTTAGAATTTTACTCTACTTTTAAATATGGAGTGGACGCTTAAAGAAGACCGTAGACGACTGACCGCGCAGATTGAAGGCCTGTATTCAAAATCACGGAGGTCATTTTGAATAAACTTTAGTGTCATAAGAATCTATGTTTTGTTAAGTTCATTTTGGTATACGAATGGTTACATAATGAATAAACTTGTTTCAATTATTTTACATTAAACATGTGACAGAATTTATGACCTGACTAGTTATATATATATTAATATAATAATTATAATATAATAACTATAATAACGATCTGTATGCAGCGTCTCCTCAAGTATTTCGGACACGTGGCCCGACAAAATCCTGAGAACTTGGAAAAATTAATAGTTGTAGGTCACGTGGAAGGAAAGAGAAGTCGAGGAAGATTGCCAACCAGGTGGACGGACGTTGTCAAGGAGGCCACAAACATCAGGTCCCGGGTGCCATTAAGCAGGCCGATTGCAGGCAACATTGGAGAAAGCTAGTGCAAAAACTGGACCAAGGTGGTCACGACCCTCAGTAATGAGGAAGCGACAAAGAAGAAGAAGAAGAAGAACTATCATTTATTTTAAGTGCTCTCAATTTGCCGATTCGAAAGGATTGTCATGAACTTGGTCACTCTTCTCGAACGGATAGTAAGGATGATCCTGCCAGAAAGACATACCGACTGTGCGTTTCTCCTTGTTGAATGTACCTAGAAATAAAAAATCCTATTACTGACTGATACTCAGATCTTAGAACTTATATCTCAAAGTGGGTGGCGCATTACGTTGTAGATGTCTATGGGCTCCAGTAACTACTTAACACCAAGTGGGATGTGAGCTCGTCCATCCATCTAAACAAAAAAAAAAACAAATATTACTCTGTACTATCCTATTATTCCTATTACTCTGTACTATGTCTTCTTTTTTGTGTGTACATAAATAAATAAAATATATATTTATTCGCTTCGTTTCGCTAATAACGACCTGATATTTGAGTCTTTAGACACCGAAAAGTGTACTCTTTGGGGTCGATGTCTTTGGCTAGATCTAAGTCTCAGTTCCGTTGATCGTTTGATCCTGTCGGAGTTAGTAGCTTTGTTAAAGATGGCCTGGATCTTAGTAATAGGAGAGTTTGTTCCATAATTTGATGTAAGTGGAGAAAGATTTCGTGAATGCGTTTTATCAAATAATGCTGTATTCACTCACCAATCTTATTCATATCCTCAGATGACAAATTGAAATCGAAAACGTCAATGTTTTCCTCAATGCGGTTCTTCTTAACTGATTTAGGGATTGGAACTACCCCCTTTTGGATCTGAAATCGGTAAGGCCAATAAAAATTTTGGGGGTTTTATGTTGACTTTTTTACTGTGTTAAGATTTGCAGGATGCCTTGTGAAGAGGCATTGCAAAATTTAGACATAAATCTCTCCACGTATTGATGCTAAAGGCATAATAATCATGGTAAATAGGCGTTGTAGTATGAACCATCGCTAGTGAAGATAGGCTTAAAGATAGAGTTCGATATAGAAATAAGGTTAAGATAGTATTAATTGGTGTTGTGGTAAGATCTCTTGAAATGCTAGCCAAAAATTTCATATGCTCACCAAATACCGAAGAACGATTTGTGTAACGCTTTTTCCGTGTTTTTCGGCAATGGCCACGAGCGTGGGGTCGTCGGGGCGTATTGAGGGTAAGCTGTCGTGGAACATCGGGCCGAACGGGGAAAACGCCATAACAACTATACCGTTACGTTTGCAATAGTCAATAAGTTTATCTTGACCAAGATGTAGATTCACCTGAAGTTTGAGTCAGAGTTTAAAGATTTGGGATTACAATTGAGAAGAGCTGTGAGTACTGTAAACTGGCGATTTCATGACTAATGGGAGAGCTCATGGGGAGATATCTGATCAACATCTGCCCCAGTAAGATCAATGCTTCGCTGGATCTACCATTGTATCGGAATTACGGTATACTGACAAAATCCATTAAAACTCAATAGGCTTTTATTCATAGTGGTAGGACCTCTTGTGAATCCGCACGGGTAGATACCACCACCTTGCCTATTTCTGCCGTAAAGCAGTAATGCGTTTCGGCTTGAAGGGTGGGGCAGCCGTTGTAACCATACTGAGATCTTAGAACTTATATCTCAAGTTGGGTGGCGCATTTACGTTGTAGATGTCTATGGGCTCCGGTAACCACTTAATATCAGGTGGGCTGTGAGCTCGTCCACCCAGCCGAGCAATAATTCGAGTTAGTCTATCTAGTTCACAAATGGTTATCGTATCAAAGATTCAGCATTGCTCGATAATATAAAACCCGAAGCATTTATGTATGAAAAGCGGGCAGGCACTAGCTTCTACGTGTTAGCGTGGTCTCCCACCCTAATAAGATCCCTTTATCCAACAGAAAAACAATTCAGTTATAATCAAATCAATAAATACTTACTTCCACTTGTAAAACTGAAGGTTTTATTTGGCCATTCTCTAATATTCTGTCTATTTGTGTGGTGTTGAAGTTAGATATGCCTATAGATTTAGCTAGGCCTAGATTTTTAGCTTCCTCCATGCCTTTCCAGGTGTCCAAGTAATCTACAATGTCGAAACCTTTGAATCCAGGCTGAAAAAAAAGCATGTTTACTTGACGAAGCTTGCAGAGCGAGAAAGAGTTTGAGTATGATAAAAACCGAAACATTTAAATCAGTTTAATTGCTGCTGATATAGTTAATACGTGAAGAATCCACGGCCATTTCTGGCTAGAATACGTTGCTTGGTTCAATTGAGATTTAAGCAGTCTTTTAGCAGTCTATGGACTCCGCGGTCCTGTGTGCTTAGTGCGAGTTTTTTAACGTTCTCGTTAACGTAAAAGTTAACTCAAATTTGTATGGAATTGGAACGTTTGCCTACACTTACCGCTAGGGGCGCTGTTCCAACTGCATACAAATTTGAGTAAATTTTTACGCTATCGAGAACGTTAAAAAGCTCGCACTAAACACACTGGACATCTTTGAGACGGAGATGCAGATAGACATGGTTTGTAATGAGACCAGGTCTCGATTCTCGTGAGATCACAGAAGATCTACGAGGTCACTGTCTTATGTTTGAGTGATCGTGTTCAATTTTGTCGATGGCAGAAATAAGCCCGACTTAGTAGACCCACAAATCGCCATACTTTCAAGGTCAAATAAAGTCTGTAGAAGATACGACAATTAGGTACACGCATATGGGCAAACAAGCTTATGTTCTATCTAGTATGATTATAGTCAACATTGATCTATGTGAATACCGCCGCCATCTTAAGACGTAGGTAAGTTTGACGTTTGTAGTGCACACTTAAATCATTTCCCAATTAAATACAAATTAATATTAAGCAATCAATTAGTTATATAATTATTTTATTTTTATTGTTAATGCACTGTAGATTACACCTATAATTGAGGAGACATCTGGCATGAACTTTTGTCAGTTTGTCGTCAATGTTTTGTATTGATGATCACTTTGTTAATGCAACTTAATAAATAAATTTTAAATTTTTTTTTTTTTTTTTTTTTTTTATTGCCCTTGTAGGCAGACGAGCATACGGCCCACCTGATGGTGAGTGGTTACCGTCGCCCATGGACTTCAGCAATGCCAGGGGCAGAGCCAAGCCGCTGCCTACTGCTTAATACTCTCCACAAGCCTCGTTTGAAGAAGGACATGTCATAGCGCTCAGGAAACACCGTGGAGGGGAGCTCATTCCATAGCCGGATGGTACGTGGCAAAAAAGATCTCTGGAAACGCACTGTGGATGACCGCAGAGGCTCCAGGTAGTATGGATGAACTCTACTCCGGTGGCGGGCGGTGCGATGGTAAAAACGAGATGCCGGTATCATCTCGAACAATTCCTCAGAGCACTCCCCATGGAACATACGGTACAAAATACAGAGGGAACCGAAGTCCCTCCGCAGACCCAGAGGCTCCAAACGATCCG